AGGAAATGATATCCTTTAGCCACAGTTGGCTGCTCTGCAAAGTATAGGAATGTGGATAGAGTATACTCAACAGTAGTTGATGAGGATCAGGGATTTTGTTTGCAAACTGTCTGAACTCACTTTTATTCAACACTATTCGTACTCTTTATTGAGTTAAGGAACTTAAAACAAAGCATGATAGTTCAGTTCTTTGGTTTGTTCTATAACCTTCAGCTTCATAGTTTGATTATATCTACTAAAATAAGTAGGAGGTATAGACCACATTTGAATTGTAAATAAAGAAGACAGAAATAAGACATACAAAAGGGATAAGGGCACATGTTTTGGGTAAAGAAATAAAAATCAGTTTCTATTATAAGATTCTATAAAGTTATAATTGAACTTTAAAAGCATGAGACTCGAATTTCATGTCTTTTAATAAGAAGTTAAAAAAGGGGTGGTGCATGCATATTTGAATGCAAAGAAGATATTTTTCGTTGTTAAGATAGTACATAAATCTTTTCTAAAATTTGCAAACACAATTCGGTAATGCGTTATTATCACCATAAAGTATTATCATCAAGATGAATTCCAAATTATTTGAAAATCTCATAGTGTTGGGTATTAGACCAAAAAATATATTGTGTTATATAGAACGAAACATATTTGACTCAATGAAGATCATTAGATGAGAATAATTTTACAATCTTATATGTAGTTGCCCCATAACTTATGCTACTACCTTTAAATCTGTTGTTCTTATTGAAAATTTATGATGAAATTTTTTTGCTCAACCTTAAACCCGGTCTTTAGGATTTCCAAAGTAAGCTTGCCATTAGGAAAGGATGAACTATTTAGTCCTCAATGGAAGCTCTGTACTCACTAGAATGTTTAAACTAGTTTCTTTCTTTACAAGTGGAAGCAGCAACGAGACTGATAATAGTACGTGTGAATGACTGAACAAACAATTTGATGTAAGCTAAAATCTTATTTCTTTTCCTTTTACTGAACTTTGCTCACAATTCCCTACCAAAGTTCGATATGGGAGATTTTGAATACTATCGGGCTAATGATGTAAAATCTTAAACACTAATAAAACTATAAAAGCGAAATACTTTAGGCATAATATAGCCGGAAAGGAAAATTATACAAAAAAGCATCAAGCATTATCTGGACAAAATAATTTATTTCAAAACTTTATCAGGTAGAGATTTCGCTACTACAATCTTCGATTTCACAAGGTGAGTAATATAATGGAACCCTATACATACAAGAAATTAAAAAAAAAAAAAAAAAGTTAAAACATACAAAAAAATTGAAGATGAAGTCGTCTAGAAACTACAAATATTCATACCTTAGGTTTCAATGGTCCAATTTTAGTACTATTTCTTAGGTATTTTCGAAGGAGTTAAAGATGAAATCTACCAACATCTACAAATCGAAAAGTGCTTTTTTGTAAAAGAATCAAGATCTCCATAGATGAAAGAAATTTGAAAGGTACTTTTTTTTTTTTTAAATTCCCTATTTTTATTAATTTGCCCTCACTTGTGGTGAAAGAATATCGTGGTTACATGTGAAAAAATTGAAAGCAGTAAATGAGGAAGACTACTTCCCTTACAATAATTGTAAATGCTAAAGAAAATGTATTATGCAGTAAAAGAGGAATTACTACTTCCCTTACAATAAGATTTGATGCAATTAAAGACAAAAACTTAAAACTAAAATTTAAAATAAAATTACAATTCATATTCTAAAGTTGGGCAATTCATGTCAATCAATTTGCACAAGTGCCCGAATATGACGTGGTAGGTCAGCAAGTTCATACATTTGATATCGTCGGTGATACCAACCTGCTGCAGCAAGAGCATTTGTAACCTGGTTTCCCTCTCTGTAGATGTGGGTAACTCTGTCTCTATTAAATGAGATGATGTCTACAATCATTCTAAGTATGCCTTGTATAGCCCATGGTCCTCCATCTTTGGTGATGCAATGAATTGCTACACTCGAATCTGCCTCAACCCAAATGTCTAGAAATCCAAGACAGTATCCCATTAAGAATAGCCCTAAGCCCTACTTCCAATATGTTGCACCGTCCATATGATGTTGAGAATGCCTTTATGCATTTTCCTGTGTGGTTCCTGACGATGCCTCCCCCACTCGCAAAGTCATCCTTGACACATCCATCAGCATTGATCTTTACAGTTTCAACTAATGGAGTGCGCCACCAAACTATAATGGGGAGAGGAGATGAAGGGAGGGTCATAGTAATCCCAAAAAGTGGGGCAAGCTGCATGTCATTACACCAGTGTAGTGGTCGAATTAATCTTCTAGTGTGAAGGAATGAGATCATACAATGCACCTTCCAAATGATTCGTCTTGATCTCATACGGATACCCCTATGCTTTGTGTCATTTCTCTCAATCCATAGAAACCTAAAAATAAGTAGATGGATAACGATGCAAATATGCCCATTCCAAGCAAGCCGTCCAGAGTACACCATCACAACAATCTTTGTCTGATACTCTTGCCTGCATTCATAGTAATCTGAAATAAGCCCCCAAAATGCTGCCAAACCTGATTTGATATATTGCTATCAGTAAACATATGGGTGATGTTATCAATTCCAGAACAACACTAACACCGAAAAGCCAACTGACTGCCAACCCTCCTCTGAATAATAGTATCCCTAGGAATCAAATCCTGCTATAATTTCCAACAGAAGAATGAGATTTTGGTAGGTATGATAGGGTTCTAGAGGAGATGATATAAATCCTGCGTTGGTTTGATAGAACAGATCAACTGCCATGCTAACTAAGTAGCAAATCTTCCATCTGATGTAGCCCTCCAAAAAATTTGATCTAGGACGTCGACACATAGTGGCATGTCAGCAATCTGTTCAACCCTAATTAGTGGAAGAGCCTGTATTAATCGTCTAAAGTTCCATCCAGTCTCCTCAAAAAAATCTTGCACTTTCTTAGAGGTGTGTTGCCTAATTAGGAGGATAGGCACCAAAGAAGTATCTTCCATCTAACAATCATGCCAAAAGAAAATCTGACCAGCCCCAAGTTGCCATGCAATATGTGGTTTTGCACGTTGTCCAAATCTCTTCATTCTTTTCCATATATGAGGGGCTGAATTAGGGATAGCTGCAAGTGATGAGTATGTCCTTCTACAGTATTTGCCTAATAAAAACTGAGCCCAAAGATATTTTTGGGATCTAAATAACTGCCATAACTTCATGAAAAATGTGTCCACCATATCCTATAGTCTTCTGAAGCTTAATCTACCCTCATCAGTAGGATAGCATTTTTCCTTCCACTTCCGCCAATGTAATCTCCGTGCATGATCCTTAGAGTCCCATAGGAATCTCGCCAATATACTTTCCACCTTTTTCAGTACAACCTTGGAAAGTCGCAGAATCTGGAAAAGATATACTAGTAAGGAGAAGAGAGCTGACCTCAGTAAAGTGATCCTACCATCAGGGAAAAGAAGTCTTGAAGCCCATCCAGAAATTCTATTCCTGATCTTCATAATAAGGTCATTAAACAGAATACTCCTCTTAGCCCCCTTACTATGTAAACGACTGTTGTTGATGAGAAAATCCAGTCAAAATCACAAGCCTCCGAATCAAAATATCCGATGCTCGCTTGGGCAGTATAAGACCACTTCTCTCTTTATTCACCAATTGGCCAGAGACCCGTTCATAGTGTTCCAAACATTCAATGACCCTTCTGATAGACTTCTTCTGACCATTAGCAAATATAATTACATCGTCAGCAAAGGCAAGATGAGAGATAAGATTAATGCCTTTATGCCGATATTCCATCCTAGGGTATACATGAAACTTTTGAGTAAGCAATCGAGATAAGTAATCTGCAGCAATAACAAATAAGAAGGGGGATATAAGAAAGGGGAGATAGGGTCTCCCTGTCTAAGTCCACTGAGGATGGGAAGAAACCATAACGCCTCCCATTCAGAAGTACTGAAAATCGACACTTCAAAATATACCTTCAGATCCTATCAATCCATAACTGGTCAAATCCAAACGCCTCTAAAATAGAATAAATGAATCCCCAGTCCATATGATCATATGTTTTAGTCATATCAAACTTTAGCATAGTATTTCCTCCTCGGACTTTATTATCCAACGTGTGTAGAAGCTCCTGAATCAAAAATATATTGTCCCTAATAAGATGACCGGGGATAAAACCACTTTGCTGCAGAGAAATAATACGAGGTAGTAATGAGCTTAATCTGGTGTTAAATAGCTTCGTGATAAGCTTGTTGAACACTATGCATAGGCTAATAGGTCGGTAATTCATCCGTCCAGAAGCATTATCCTTCTTCGGGAACGAAACAATAGACGTAGTAGCAAAATCCCGCGGTAAATGGCCACCCTCAAAGAAATCCATGATTGCACTGTACACATCATCCTGTATAATATCCCAACATTGCTGGCAGAATAAGGCTGAAAATCCATCTGGGCCGCAATACTATCAGCATCAATGCTAAAAATCGTCTCCCGTACCTTATCAATTAAAGGGAGACGGTTCAGTGTCATATTATTTGCTTCGGTTAGTATCCTAGGTATGATGTTAGGACAGATGGACTTCAACGACTATGAATGAGCAGATAATAAATCTTGGAAAAATTGAATCTCTGAGTTTTGTATGTCTGTTGGAGTAGAAAGATCTTCTCCTGATGAGTCGTGATAGTTCTAATTCGAGATCTAATTCGTCGTCCCTGTACCATCGCATGAAAATATCAGGTGTTGTGGTCCCCCTCACACACCCATCGCGATCTGGCCCTCTGTTTCCAAAAACCCTCATCAATATCTAAAGTCCGGTTTAAATCAGCCTGTGCATGATGAAGTAAATCACAATGCTTCGGTGTAGGGTCCCTATCAAATTCAATCTCTGCCTAATCGACCCTCATCTCAACGTCCTCACCCACTGAAATACATCACCGAATACTCGTTGATTCCATCACCGAAGCCCCTGTTTCAGCTTGAAGAACTTTTCCTAAAGAGCAGTCGTCCATGTCAAGTGAGTAGGGAGTGACCACTTCTGAGATACGAAGTCTAAGAAACCATGATGCTTAGTCCATACATTTAGGAACCGAAAAGGTCTAGGTGCTAAATCTTCATCAGAAATCCAATGTAAAAGTAGCGGTGAATGATCAGATGAGGTACAATGGAGATGCGCTACAGTAAGCTGTTTGCAAAAATCTACAGCTATTGAGTTTCTTAAGACTCTATCCAATCTTTTACTAACTCTACCATTTGTCCAAGTGAATTTAGACCCAGTAAAACCAGCATCCTCTAAACCACAGTCCATCATCATATTAGAGAAGTCACTAGAGCCACTATATCGCCTACTATGACCAGTGTGCTCAACCTCATGTGCAATGATATTAAAGTCTCCCTCAACTAGCCAAGAATCATCTATGGAGAGCGAAATGTGGTGAAGACCCACCCACAAGTCTCTCCTAACTGAGGCCTCACAAGCTGCATACACTGGTGTTAATTCCAAAGAAGTTGAAGATGAAATCCTCCAAAATGTACAAATTAAAAAAATGTTTTTTTTTTGTTTTTGGTAAAAGAAACAAGGTCATCATAGATGAAAGAGATCTGAAACATATGATCTTTAGATTACGAGCGTTGAATTTGAGTACTACCTTTTGAGGCATTTCCATTTCACAAAAAGAACAAATTGAAGAATTGAAGAATTAGAAAGAAATCTACATCTACACGAGAAGATGATAAGAATTTTGACAAGAGATTTTTTGATCTACGAATGCACAAGGCAAATAAAAAACTGCTCTAAAACATCCGTCGTACAATAAAGTAATCAAAGGACAATTGTTTAACAGACCACATTTATTACATGACCATTAAACCATTACTTTAACAATAATTTTCCTAAAATAGCCTTCACTTAATAACTTCACATGATTTTCCATGAATGATGATGTTAAGGGTAAAATGGGAATTAAAAATATTTACATGACATTATCCCACACAAGTCAAACTTTGAGACAAATATCATCTGCCCACTTACCATGATCGAGCAGCTACAGTGCACATCTAGATACATGACTTCACACGTGGAAAAGGAAACAAGATGAATCCAAATTGAGTTCCTACAAACAAACAGCTACAGTGCTCATCTAGTTGCATTCCTTAACACTTGGAATGAAAGACTCTATTCAAACTAGTTAAGTGTGAAATGAAAGGAGGAAAAAAAGAAAGAAGATAGAGATGATGATGATGATGATGATGATGATGATGATAATAGAAATAATGAAAGGGAGAGTCAACAATTGTGGATAGTGAAAAGACCATATTATCATTTTTGTTGTAAAGCTTCATGAATGAATGGTGAAGGATGGATGGGAATAAAAAAAGCTTCATGAATGAATAGTAAATGGAGGATTGTCTCTTAATATAGTAGGGATAATATAAAAATAATAAATAAAAATATTCTACACACACAAGCATTGGCTCGTACAATGCTTGGACTTGAGTGTTTTCAAGGAAATGTTAGTATTTTGAATGTGTCTGTAACGCCCCGAGATCTTTTTCATCTTCAATAATTTATTCTTTTATAAAAATAGGCTCCAGGTGTTATCAACATCTTCTTTGTCTAATTTAAGTGGAAATATCACTTTCATTAAGTGTTGAAATGCATAAAAATAGCTATTAAACAATGTGTACAAAATTCAATACAAAGATGTTCTTCAAATATGAGTTTGACAATTATCTTTTCTAGAAAATTTATTTGACAACCCCATAAACATCATTCGGTCAATCTTCCACGCGTCCCACGACCCGTTCTAATATGAAATTTTAGTAAGAGTGATTATTTTGAAAACACTCGATAAAAATATGTACACATTTTTATTCAAATGATATAAATATAAAACTGACATAACATACCGACATTTCTTAATTTAGAGCTCAAGGAATTTCTTAAGAATTCCCATATCCCGTAGGATTTAACATCTTTGACCAAACGATCCATTCCCTATGATTTAACATTTTTGACCTAGCAGTCCATCCCGAAGGATTTAACATAGAGTTCGACCTGAAGCCGTCATGGCATTTTATACCAAAAATTATACAAACATCACGGAATAAGAATTTATCACTTTACACAATGTATTCTTACCTCAATTGACACCCAAAATTCTGAAAAAAAGGTTTGAAATGATAATGTGAAAGTGAATAGTGAGTGTGTGTTAAAATAAAAATGAAGTTATGAAATTTTTAACACAAAACACTCTCACCTTACAACCTATATATAATTACTTGCATTTAACCTTCAAAGAAGTCAAAAGGTTGGTGACATAATTCAAAATCAATTAGGTTACTTATGACTTAATTAGGTTAATTATTTTGGTAATTATGTTAAATATCTTTTCAAATTCCTACGTGAAAGTTCTTCTCTTTTTTCTTTGTTTTTATTATTATTTATCTTAATAAAATATTAAAGGTTAACACATTTCATTTTATTAGAATAACTTGGACATGACTAACTTAAAATTACTTTTTTCTTGAGCCCAATATGAGCTTCAAAATGAGTATAATATTTGATATATTTCATCAATTTCTAAAATACTTAAAATATTCGACTCAAATAACTTACGATGAATTTTAAAAACTCATAAGCAAGGTAAATCTTTTATGCGAATAAGTGGGTTGAGCTTATCTTTTAACCTTTGGACTTTTTTGTGTGACGACAAATCTAAACATGAATTATTTCATTTGCTAAGTTACCCATAATAAGTTTAGGCCCATATGAAAGATAGTAAAAAAGTTCGGGGCGTTACAGTGTCGGATTCTCGTAGGCAATATTTTCATTTTAGTGTGTGCTATTACTACAATGGGATAGGCTTGTTTGTAGTTAACTTGAATAGAATGTCAAAGATAAGTGCACAATGTTTGAAAATTAAAAGCATAGAGAGTGGTATTCGTAAAGAAGCTAATGTGTGCTAATGCAGTAATATAGATTTACAATAAAAATAAAGTTCTATTTTTGTTCTCAAGGAATACTCTTCATCTTGTATATGTAAGGACAATATCATAAGGAAAATCTTCATCAAGGAAGCATGTCTTTATAAACCTCTTATGTGAAAGGTACTGGATGTTTCTGAAAAATAAAATCTCATATGAATCTCAGCCTCCTAGACATGTAAAAAGGTACGTGGGTTTATGGAAAATATATATTCCTTTCAGTCGTCCAAGTAGTGGACATTTTGTCAAATTCCAAAAACGCATCATCTAAATTCATCTGCGCGAGTACAACTTGTATCTTCACTTGCCACGACGAAATCTAAAAGCAAAATTTCATACTTCATGGCTATTATCAATAAAAAAAAAATTGGAACAAATCACAACCAATAGCTCTGATACCACTTGCTCGAAAATAAAACTGATCAAGGTAATGTATACAATACGATATGAAATATATGATCGCAAACGAACAACAAGATGAAATGTAAAGAATTAATTAGTAAAGAAACAAAGTATTTTATTCAATTAACTAATATGGAAAAAACAAATATAATAAATATGACTACATAATTATTCTATGTTTCAGAATACAAAACTTGAAAAAAGATTCTAGTATATATAGCAGTGCATTCCTAACCCGGGAAATACTACAAAGATGAAAACAAGATAAAAAATTAAGTGGAATAAAGGAAAAATTATTTTTTAAATAAAAACGGGCAGAATAAAGTAAATAATTTTTTCTAATAAAAGTGCGTGGAATAAGAGAAACAATATTTTCCCCAAAAAACTAATCAAATTTGGGTCAAAACCCAACAATGAGAGAGAGAGAAAGCAAAAGCTAGAGGAATGATGATAAATGAATGTCGAATGAATGCTTTTGCGTATGTCTTCAAATATTTTACACATATAATATATATTATTGTGGCGAGAGAGTAGCGAAAGAGTAAAATTAAAAACAAAAGTGAAAAGTAGTGAACTGTTGAAATCAGTTTGGAACAAGTGTGAAATGGAGTTTAAAGAATGAATAAGGAATCAGTTGTCCTCTTTTCTTTAGTGTAGGGATTGATAAGTGCATAGACATAGATTTCTTTCTTTCATTTTAATTTTATTTTTGCTATTTTTTTACTTTAGAGCCAGTTTGATGACCATTCTTTTGCAAAAAAATACATTTTGAAATAATGATTTGATGGAGACTGTGTGGTTAAAAATAAGAAAAAAAGTTTTAAGTTTGTATGTAATATTATTTTATAGAAGAATGTGTTGTTAAAAAGAAGAGAGGAAAAAATATATTTTGAAAAAAATGGGAATAAAAAAAAGCTTTATTCTCATTTTTTTTTAAATTTTAAATCCTTTTTATTTTTTCTTTAATTTAATTTTTGTTCATTTTTATAGTTTCCCCTTTTCCCTTTAATTTTATTTTTTGATTTATTTTTAATTTACTTTAATTTCCCTTTTTGTTGAATTTTGAATCTTTTTTTTAATTTTTTTTTAATTTCCTTTTCTCTAAGTTTCATTTTTGTTCTTTATATATAATCTTTCTTCCTTTAATTTTATTTTTAATACACACACACACACGATGAAATGAATTTATTTTTTGCGTTAGTGTACAATTTGGTTGGTTGAATTTTTAGATATTATGTTTTATTCTATAATCAATTGTAAAAGATTATAACATTTGAAATTATTGCAAGATGGAGTATGATCTAGATACTAGACGGAGGGGTAAAAAGAGTGCTATTGATGTGACGAAACAGGACGGTACCTTTTTTCTCCCTTCGCGATCGAGGCGAAGAGGATGATGTTCGACTCAGCGAAGAATAATGCGTTTAAAATCTAATTCAATAGTCTCGGACCTGGGTAAGTATTTTGAGATTTTACCATCTATGTGCTTTCTAAATTTTTTTTTTTTTTTTTTTTTTTTTTTTAGAATTAGCTACGAGATAGGGGAGACTATGATATCGGATACTAGAAAATGGTTTAAGGATGTGATGAAAAGTGGCTCGTCGATGATGTAAGTGTTTTTTTGTTGTTTTTTATGTTGTTCACATAATTGGTCGTGATTTTAATTTATTTTGTTCTCTCCTTTTTTCTGTTGTAATATTTTGATTTGGCTATGAAATTTCTACTTGATTGAGCTGAAAGACACCCGAAATCATTTGACATTCTTGATCAAGTTATCTTGAGCTGCAGATTAAAGAATGTCATTGACATTCAGCATACCACGCTCCAATGTGAGCCAAACGGGTACGTGTCCTCAGTACATTTTCAAGTATCTGATAGGGGTTGAGTCGAGATTGGGAAGGATATGGACGGATTGTAATTATCTGTATGTTCCAGTGATTGTGAACACATACTGCTTTGTAGTTGAGATCATATTTATTGATTCGATGATGTACGTATACAACTCCAATCATGGTTGTCTCATACAAGGCCAATCACAGCATATATTGGCGTTGACGGCGATCATCGTTCCCATGATGACTAGAGCAACAATCATTGCAGTACTTGATAGACTAGTTGTTGTGAGGAAGGAAGAAGACGACATCAAAACAAAGAGTATCGTAAGTTAGTTTTTGGTTATATATTGTTGAACTAATATACTATTATTTACGTATAAGGGTGATTGTGGAATGTTCACAATCAAATACATAAAATTCTTGAGCATCGAACATAATGAATAGTTGATCAACAGAACTTACATGGATAACTAGAGGATTAAGTTAACATTCAATTTGTATGAATACAATTACAATCCGTAAACATTTTATATTATTCTAAAAAAAATATAAATATTATTTATTTAATTGAGACTCGTGTTTTAATATAATTGTATATTTAATTGTGAATATATTTAACTGTATATTTAATTGCTAGAGTTACAGAAATGCACAAAAAAATTGATGAAAAGGAAAGAAGTTAAAAAGATGATCTAAGATTCTATGGACTCAACTGGTGAAAAGAAAGAAGCAAAATTGGGGACCTAATTACAACTTTCTACTAGTTTATTCGGATCATAAAACGATGATCAAAGATTATATGGATGCAATTTGAAGATAAATGATTGACCGGAAAAAATCCTAGATGGCGCTCGAATTATGGGCTTTTGAAAAAAAAAAAAAAAGAAGAAGATGGCCCAGACTTCTAGGCCGTCTGTTAATAAGCACCCAGAAGTTCGAGACCCTTTTTTTGAAGGGTAAATATATTTAATTGTATAAGTAATTATAATTATGTTTAATGACAAAATTACTAACGAAACAAACAAAGTAATACAAATACAAAAAGTACATATAATTCAAATATAAACTACATATTCGTTGAATTGTTATGTAGAGGAATTTAACTTGTACAAAACTAGCGAGTGCCTTGTTGCGCCGCCACATTTGCCACACTTACGCAATCAGGAAAACCCTTCAGTAGATGGTATTCTTGAAGTATGTCTATGTTTAGAGTATGTGGTCCGACATTAGATGGCAACAAAATATTAAGTAGGAGAATGTGGATGAGAACTTTCCATTCCGCTAGATGAAGTAAGTTTCAGGATACATTGCTCTCTAAAAACAATGGTATAACAAAGAATGCATAAAGTGTGTGGTAAAAAGTCTATATACATAGCCACTATGACTACATGCGCACATGAAAAACTCTCTAACTGAAATTATCGACACGTGCAGGTATTATCATTTAAGTTCACAATGTATCTAATATTGCGTCCACATCTTACAAAGAAGCGAAACTAATCCAGTGATTCCAAAGAAGCGAAACTAATCCAGTGATTCCACACATACCTTTATCGCTATTTCTAAAGTCTTGAAGAGTTTATTTCTAAGTCAGGGTTAACACACTTGCAACTCTGTGATTTCGCATGTCTATTATGAAATTATTACTGAAGCTTGTTATAATTGTGCTCAATTATTGTGAGAATTGATAACTTTTAATCCTTTTTTAGTAATATATTAAATGACTCTGCATTGTTTGATGTCATCATATTGTATCGACATCCTGAAAAAT